AAAATTTACTCTCAGCAATCTTCAAGTATACAATGCTGTTATTAACTATAGTCACCATACTGTAACCAGATGCCTTTTGATATACACTCTGTTCTAGGTGCATCACTATATGGATAATAGGTAGTGCTCTCTGGCTACTAGACAGTCTTTATTCTTAGATCTTTTCACTGGACAGAGCTAGGATATTAAGATATTATATGCCCAACCAGTACATATATCTTAGGTTTAAACCGGCACTTTTAGTTTAAATCTAGAACTATAGGATTTTTTTCTTAACCTGGCTTTTCTTGTGTCAGAATCTGTTTTGAACCATGCCCCAAATCTCAGGTCTCAATGACATAATTAATGATTTGCTATATCCCACCCACTGCAAATAACAGTATCAGGGTAATAATTTTAGTACTCAACACCAGCAATAAAGAGACTAAAAACAATTTCAGTTTTTCCTTCCCCTAGGTTTTTTTTTTTTTTGAGATGGAATCTCACTCTATCGCCCAAGGCTGAAGTGCAGTGGCACGATCTTGGCTCACTGCAACCTCTGCCTCCCAGGTTCAAGTGATTCTCCTGCCTCAACCTCCCAAGTAGGTGGGATTACAGGTGCCTGCCCCTGCACCTGGCTAATGTTTGTATTTTTAGTACAGACAGGGTTTCACCATCTTGGCCAGGCTGGTCTTGAACTCCTGACCTTGTGATCCACCAGCCTTCCAAAGTGCTGGGAATATAGGCGTGACCCAGCACGCCTGGCCTTTCAGTTACTTTTGTTCTAATGGTAAATCTCATTAAGAATGTATCAAATTACTGTGCTTTAAAGCCACTTCTTGAGTGGTTTCTCTCTGGTTAAGGCCATTAATGGGATGCACAGTTAGGCTCATTTGATTAATTTACCTTTACTTTGGGGTAATTCCTTTTTAAGTTTAAATTGTTTTATTGTGTGAATTATTTACCGGCACACTTCCCTTTATGGTACTTCACTTTACTGTGCTTTGCTGACTGTGTGTTTTACAAATTGAAGGTTTCTGGCAGCCTTGCATTGAGTAAGTCTATTGGGGCTATTTTTCTAAGGGCATGTGCTCACTTTGGGTGTCTCTGTCATATTTTGGTAATTCTTAAAATATTTCAAACCTTTTTATCATTACTATGTCTTATGGTGATACTTGATGTTACTACTGTAATTGTTTTGGGGCACCACAAATTGTACTCATGTGAGATGGCGAACTTAATAGTTGTATGTTCTGACTGCACCACCAACTGACCGTTCCCTCTCTCTCTCCCTCTCTTTGGGCCTCCATATTACCTGAGATGCAACAATATTGAAATTGGGCCAATACATAACCCTATGTTGGCTTCTTAAGTGTTCAAGTGAAAGAATTCCATGTTTCTCGTTTTAAATCAAAAGCTACAAATGGGAGCTTAGCGAGGAAGGCAAGTCAAAAGCTGAGATAGGCCAAATGTTAAGCCTCTTGCTCCAAACATTAGCTAAGTTGTGAATGCAAAGGAAAAGTTCTTGAAGGAAATTAAGAGTGTTCTAGTTCACTGAACACATGAATCGTAAGAAAGTGAAAAGCCTTGTTGCTGACAGGGAGACAATTTTAGTGGTCTGGTTAGAAGGTCAAACCAGGCCAGGCTCACACCTGTAATCCCAGCACTTTTGGAGGGTGAGGTGGGCGGATCACTTGAGGTTAGGAGTTCCAGACCAGCCTGGACAACATGGTAAAACCCTGTCTCTACTAAAAATACAAAAAATTAGCCCGGTGTGGTGGCTCATGCCTGTAGTCCTAGCTACTCGGGACGCTGAGACAGGAGAATCTCTTGAACTCGGGAAGTGAAGGTTGCAGTGAGCCAAGATTGTGCCACTGCACTCCAGCCTGGGTGACAGAGCAAGACTCTATCTCAAAAACAAAAACAAACAAAAAAGCAAACAACCAGCCACAACATTCCCTTAAGCCAAAGCCTAATTCAGAGTTAGGCCCTAACTCTGTTCAGTTCTGTGAAGGTTGAGAGAGGTGAGAAAGCTATAGAAGAAAAGGTGGAAGCCAGCAGAGGTAGGTTCCTGAGGTTTAAGGAAAGCAGACATCTCTGTAACTTAAGGTGCAAGGTAAAGCAGCAAGTGCTGATGTAGAAGCTGTAGCAAGTTACCTAGAAGATCTAGCTAAGATTATTGAAGGCCAGGCTGACTCTGGTTAGGGGCTAATGCAGCTGGTGACTGTAGTTGAAGCCAATGTTCATTTGCCATTCTGAAAATCCCAGGGCCCTTAAGAATTATGCTAAATCCACCCTGCCTGTACTCTGTAACTAGAACCACCAGGCCTAGATGATAGCATACCTGTTCACAGCATGGTTTATGGAATCTTTTAAGCCAACTATTGAGACCTGCTCAGATAAAAAGATTCCATTCAAAATATTACTGCTCATTGATAGTGCACCAGTCATCCAAGAGCTCTGATGGCAGTGTATAAGGAGATTAATGTTGTTTTCATGCCTACTAACACATACTTATTTTGTAGCCCTATAGATTAATTTTGATTTTCCAATCTTACTATTTAAGAAATAGGTTTCATAAGGCTGTAGCTACCTTAGGTAGTGATTCCTCTGATGGACTTGGGAAAAGTAAATTGAAATTTTCTGGAAAGGATTCATCATTCTAGATGCCATTAGGAATATTAGTAATTCATGGGAGGAGGTCAGAATATCAGCATTTACAGGATTTTGGAAGAAGTTGATTCCAACCCTCATGGATGATGCTGAGGGTTAGACTTTAGTGGAGGAAGTAACTGCAGATGTGGTGGAAACAGCAAGATAACTAGACTTAGAAGTGGAGTCTGAAGATGTGACTGAATTGTTGCAATCTCACAAGAAACGTGAATGGATGAGTTGCTTCTTATGGGTGAACAGAGATAGTAGTTTCTTGAGATGGAATCTACTTCTGCTGAAGACGCTGTGAACCTTGTTGAAATGACAACAAAGGATTTGGAGTAGTACATAAACTTAGTTGATAAAGCATGGGTAGGGCTTGAGAGGTTTGACTTATTAAAAACAATTTATTATTATTTTTTTAAGAGACAGGGTCTCACTGCGTTGCCCAGGCTGTCCTCAAACTCTTGGGCTTAAGTAATTCTCCTGCCTCAGTCTCTCAGGATTACAGGCCAGGGATTATAGGTACAAGCCACCACCATACCCAGGGTTGGCTTTCGTTTTGAAAGAAGTTCTACTGAGGGAAAAGTGCTATTAAATGTCGCATGCCGTACAGAAATCTTCTTAAAGGAAAAGTCAATAGATGCAGCATGTTTCATTATTGTCTTATTTTAAGAAATTACCACAGCTACCCCAACCTTGAAAAACCCCACCCTGATCAGTCAGCAGCCATCAACATGGAGGCAAGGCCCTCCACCAGCATGCAAAGATTAGGACTCTCTGAAGGCTCTGAAGATGGTTAGCATTTTTTTTTTTAAGCAATACATTTATTTATTTATTTTTTGAGATGCAGTTTTGCTCTTGTTGCCCAGGCTGGAGTGCAATGGCACGATCTCGGCTCACTGCAACCTCCGCCTCCTGGGTTAAACTGATTCTTCTGCGTCAGCCTCCTAAGTGACTGGGATTACAGGCATCTGCCACCACGACTGACTAATTTTATATTTTTAGTACAGATGAGGTTTCTCCATGTTGGTCAGGCTGGTCTTGAACTCCCGACCTCAGGTGATCTGTCCACCTCGGCCTCCCAAAGTACTGGGATTATAGGCGTGAGTCACCATGCCTAGTGTAATAAAGTATTTTTAATTAAGGTATGTACATAGTTTTTTAGTTGTAATATTATCGGACATTTAATAGACTACAGCATAATATAAACATAACTTTTATATACGCTGTGGAACCAAAAAATGTCATGTGACTTGCTTTATTGTGATGTTCACTTTGTCTTTGTGGTCTCTAGCCAAGACCACAGTGTCTTTACAGTGTGCCTGTATATAGTTCCAAAGAGAAATCTATGAAACAAGATACACTTAAGGGATTCTATGTACTATCCATGTTTTCTCTATCCTATTTACCTCTCCTGTATATGATTTTTTTTTAAATGTCAAGGTTTATCTTTCCTTTAAAAAATAAACATGTATTTTCACATTTCCCTCTGTTAAGAAGTAGCATATTATACACGTTTTTCCCCACGTTGTTTTTTTTCACCTTAGCAATACTCTGGAGATCATGGAGTCATGGTAACAGAGATATTCCTTGATTTCCTTATCCTTATTATGACAGTATAATACACTATTGTGTGGAGATATCATAGCTTATTCAAACTGTTCCCTATTGATAGTTATATGGGTTGTTTCCAGTCTTCTGCTATTACAGATAGTGCTGTAGTGAATAACTGTGTACATATCTTTCTGTGTTTTTGCCAGTGGTTTTTTTTTGAGATACATTCCTAAAAGTGAGCTTCCTGGGTCAGAAAGTAAATCTCTGTGTAGTATTGCTGGATATCACTTACCAGTGTATCAAAGTTTTTTTTCACAACTTTGCTGAGTATCTTATGAGACTTTTATATATCTGTCATTTGGGTCAGCGAGAAATAGTATCTCATATTGGTTTACACTTGCATTTCTTTGCTATAATAAGTGAGGTTCAACATCTTTTCAGTGGTTAAGAGTGGTTCCATTGCTTTTTTTTGTGAGCTTTCTGTTAGATCTCTGTTCCATCTCTGTTTTTTTTTTTTTTTTTTTTTTTTTTTGTGTAGGGGACTGGAAGGTATATGAAAGCATTTTGTTTAGTCTCTGAGTTAATGACACTGATACCTAGAGAAATAAATGATTTTCCTGAAGTTGTAGGTAGCTAGGATAGCCTTTTTCTTTTTTTCATTTTTAGATTATATATTAGTGATATTTACTCTTTGTGGTATAAGTTGTTGACTCCCCCTCTTACCCACATACAGGTTGTCACCTTTTTTTTTTTTTTTTTTTTTTTTGGTGAAAAGATATACATATATTTAGAATTAGCCAGCTGGACTCAGTTTAGATGATCCCAATTTTGTTGGCAACATCCAAAGCATCGTAATCAGGAGCCAGTCGAACCTATGCCTTCTTCTCTCCATCAGGCCGAATCAGGGTGTTGACCTTGGCCACATCAATGTCATAGAGCTTCTTCACAGCCTGTTTGATCTGGTGCTTGTTGGCTTTAACATCCACAATGAACACAAGTGTGTTGTTGTCTTCTATCTTCTTCATGGCAGACTCAGTGGTCAGCGGAAACTTGATGATAGCATAGTGGTCCAGTTTGTTTCTCCTGGGGGCGCTCTTCCGAGGTTATTTGGGCTGCCTCCGGAGTCGCAGTGTCTTGGGCCGCCGGAAGGTGGGTGACGTGCGGATCTTCTTTTTTTTGTGGCTATGGACACCTTTCAACACTGCCTTCTTGGCCTTTAAAGCTTTCGCTTTGGCTTCGGCTTTAGGAGGGGAAGGAGCTTCCTTCTTCGCTTTCGGCGCCATCTTGTGAAAAAACGGTTGTCACCTTTTAACTTTGCTCCTCTTTGAGGAGTTCTTCCCATCTGAGTTACCTACAGGAGTTTGGGAAGAAGTAGTGGGTAAGGAATTGAAGCGCATAAGATTCACAGTAGTTTTTGTGGGGCATGATAGGCTTGAATTATCATAGATAATGAGGTTGGATTTCTGATGGTGGTTAGTGGAAACAGGAATATAAGACAGATTGGATTTAGTCCATCTCATTCTAAGTGGATTGGGAGCTTGAGGCTGACAGTAAAGTCCTTAGGATGTAATGCAGTGAATTGGTGATATAAAGGGTCTGGGCAAGGAGAACCAACTGGTGCGGTATATGTCCGATACTGTGACTACATTGGTGGCCCCTTTAGTGGATGAGCTACTTAGGAGAGAGTGGTTCCCAGCTGGCCCATAGGGATTTCTGCCTTGGCTTAATTCAGTAGTATCTTGAGACTATCATATTGGTACGGTAAAGTTTTTGCCTTTCCATAGAATATATGTTTAATGAATGTTAATCTAAATAAGTATTTGTTGTTTTTGTTCTTTTTTCAGGCTACAGACAAAAGAAAAGCTTTAGAAGAGACCAAAGCCTATACAACGCAATCTCTAGCTAGTGTTGCTTATCAAATAAATGCATTGGCCAACAATGTACTCCAATTGCTGGATATCCAAGCCTCTCAGCTTCGGAGAATGGAGTCTTCCATCAACCATATCTCACAGGTAACAGCTTGTAAAAAGCTTTAAATTCAATTTAATTAAACTGCAGCATATGCCAAAGAAGTAAATAGCCTGCATATATGGATTTCTGGCTCATCTTACTGGTGATAATCATTATCACTGTTTTAGTTTGGCAACCTGCTCTTTTTCTTTTAGTCCTTTTTTTTTTTTCTCGACTCATGATAAACATGACAGAATATTGACCATTTTAACCATTTTCAAGTGTATAGTAGCATTAAGTACATTCACATTGTACAACTGTCACCACTGTCCTACTCTCAAAAGCTTTTCTGAGGTAAAGCTATTTGTACATAATTAAAGGATAGACTTTTTATAAGTTTTGACACACATATATACCCATGTGACCATCAACACATTCAAGATAATGAACCATCCCCGTCCCCCCCACCAAATTTGTTCGTTCTCCTATGTAATCCCTCCCTTTTGTCGTCTATCCTTAGGCTTTCTGTCCCTATAGATTAGTTTGCATTTTCTAAATTTTTATATAAATGGAATCATATATACTTTTTTTTTTTGGTCTGGCATATTTTACTATGCATAATTACTTTGAGATTCATTCACATTTTTGCATTTAAAAATAGTTCACTCTTTTTTATTCCTGAGTAGTTTCTGTTGTTACACATTTTGTTTATGTGTTCACATGTTGATGGAAATCTGGATTGGTTTTAGGTTTTGGCTATTACAAATAAAACTTATGAGAACATTTGTAAACAAATTTTTGTATGGTTGTATGCTTTTATTTCTTTTGAATAAATACCTCTGTGTGCAATGGATAGGTCTTGTGGTAGGTGTCTGTTTAACTAGGAGAACCTGCCAAATTATTTTCCAAAGTGGTTGTACCACGTAGTTTGGTGAGAGTTCTTATCAGGAATGGGGGATGAATTTTATCAAATGCTCTTTTGCATTTGTTGAAATGATCATATATGTGCATGTGTGTTTGTGTGTGTGTCTGTTTGTTAATATGCTGAATTACATTGGTTTGTGTGTGTGAGGAATTTTTGCTTCTGTACTCTTGAAGGCTGCTGGGCTGTGGTTTTCTTTTTTGGTAATGCCTTTGTCTGGTTTTGGTGTCAGTGTAATGCTGGTTTTATTGAATATATTGGGCAATATTCCATCTGGACCTGGAGTATTCTTGGGGAAAAGGGTTTTAACTACATATTTAATTTCTTTTGTGGATACAAGCCTATTCTGTTTATCTGTTTTTCCTTGAGTGAGCTTTTTGTCTTTCCAGGAATTTAGCTATTTCACCTAAGTTGTCAGATTTATTTAGATAAAAGTTTTATAATATTCCTTTTTTTTTTTTTTTTTTTTTGAGACAAGAGCCTTACTCTGTTGCCCAGGCTGGAGTGCAGTGGCTGGATCTTGGCTCACCACAACCTCTGCCTCCTGGGTTCAAGCAATTCTCCTGCCTCCGCCTCCCAAGTAGCTAGGATTGCAGGCACTGGCCACCACGCCTGGCTAATTTTTTGTATTTTTAGTAGAGGCAGGGTTTTGCCATGTTGGCCCGGCTGGTCTCGAAATCCTGACTTCAGGTGATCCACTTGCCTCGGCCTCCCAAAGTATTGGGATTGCAGGTATAAGCCATGGCACCTGGTCTAATCCCTTATTTTTAAAATGTCTGTACAATCTATAATAATTTCACATTGGTTATTCTTCATATTGGTAATTGGTGTCATCTTTTTTAAACTAATCATTATGGCTACTACTTTATTGATATTAAAAAACATCTTTGGCTTTATTAATTTTCTGTTTTTTGTTTGCTGTTGCATAGATTTTCATTCTGATCTTTATGCTTTTTCTTTTGCTTACCTTGGGATTAATTTGCTCTTACTTTATTTTATTTATTTTTATTTTTTGAGATGGGGTTGTGCTCTGACGCCCAGACTGGAGTGTAGTGGCGCCATCTCGGCTCACTGCAGCCTCTGTCTTCCAGGTTCAAGCCTTTCTCATGCCTTAGCCTTTCGAGTAGCTGGGATTACAGGTGCGCACCACCATGCCCAGCTAATTTTCTGTATTTTTAGTAGAGACGAGATTTCACCATGTTGGCTAGGCTGGTCTTGAACTCCTGGGCTCAAGTAATCTGCCTGCCCTGGCGTCCGAAAGTGCTAGGATTGCAGGCGTGAGCCACCACACCCGGCCTTATTTTATACTTTATTAAGGTGAAAGCCAAGGTCATTTACTTGAGACCCTTCATCTTTTCTAACATAGGTGTTTAGGTCTGTAAATAGTAGATTTACTATTACTATTCCCTCTAAATAGTAGATTAGCTGTGTCTCACACATTTAGATATGTTGTACTTTCATTTTCAGTAAGCTCAAGATAATTTCTAAGTTTGCCTTTTTGTTTCTGTCTGACCCAGGGGTTATTGGAAATGTGTTACTTAGTTTGCAAGTATTTTGGGGTTTTGCAAGGATATTTCTGCTGTTGATTTCTAATTTAGTTTCATACTGATTGGAAAAATAATACCTCATATGTTTTTTTTTTTTTTTTTTTTTTTACTTTGCATATAGCTTTCCCCCTCAGCTTTATTGAGATATAATTGACATAAAAACCATATGTATTTAAGATGTACAGTGTGATATTTTGATATATATATATATATATATATACGTTGTGAAATGATTACCACTATCAAGCTGACTAGCATATCCACTTTATACAGCTACTTTTTTTTGTGATGAGAGCATTTAAGATCTACTCTTTTTAGCAAAGTTTAAGTCTACAACACTATATTATTAACTGTAGTCATCATGTTGTACATTAGATCTCCAAAACTTATTCATCTTGCACAGCTGAAGTTTTGTACCCTTCAAGCCACAGCTCCCCATTTCCCTTACCCTCCAGCCCCTGACAACCACCATTCTACACTCTGCTTCAATGAGCTTTGATTTTTTTAGATTCCACATCTGAAAAAGTGAGATCATTCAGCATTTATCCATCTGTGCCTTGCTTATTTCACTTACCATAATGTCCTACAGGTTCATCTGTTGTGTCACGTTGCAAATAACAGGATATTTTTTCTTTTTTTTTAAGGCTGAATAATAGTCCGTTTAAATAAATATATATGTATGCACTGCCCCATATTTACTTTATTCATCCATTGATAGACACCTAAATTGATGCTGTGTCTTGGCTATACTGAATAATGCTTTATATGCTGTGAGTCCTTTCATATTTGTTAAGAATTATTATGTAGCCCAGAATATGCTCTGTCTTGGTAAATGGTGTTTTGTGTGCATTTGAGAAGAATGTATATTTTTCTCTGGGTGGGTGGAATGTCTGTAAGTCTCATTAGGTCAAGCTGATTGTTAATATTCAGTTCTTCTGTATCTTTACTGATTTGAATTGTTTTATCAGTTATTAGGGAAGGTAAATTGAAATCTCCAACTGTAATTTTGAATGTCTGTTTTTCTTTGCATTTAGTCTTTTTTCTGTTTCATGTATTTTGAAGTGATATTAGGTGCACAAATGCTTTGGCTTGTTAGGTCCTCTTGATGAATGGACCCTTTATCTTTGTAAAGAGACTCTATCTTGGGTTAGTATTCTTCTGAAATCTGCTTTGTCTAATATGAATACAGCCATTCCAGCTTTCCTTTATCCTCTTTTTCTGCCTCCTTGTGTGTTAATTGAGTGATTATTTTTGGGGGGGGGGTGCTGATTTACTGTAACTCTTTGTTCTGCTTCTTTCTTTCATTATTTCATTCATGTTTGCCTTAGGGCTTCTGGTAAACATCTTTAAACTTATTAATGTCACTTAAAGGTAGACTATGGTATTACTTCAGGAGTATGTTAAGACCTTCTAATAGTTGATTCCACTTGTCTCCTGCCTTAGGACTATTGGTGTCAAGTTTTTTTTTTTTTTCTTTTTTGAGATGGAGTTTTGCTCTGTCATACAGGCTGGAGTGCAGTGGTGCATTCTCAGTTCACTGCAGCCTCCGCCTCCTGAGTTCAAGCAGTTCTCTGCCTCAGCCTCCCGAGTAGCTGGGATTACAGGTGCTCGGCACCATGACCAGCTAATTTTTTGTATTTTTAGTAGAGATGGAGCTTCACCATCTTGGCTAGGGTGGTCTTGAACTCCTGACCTTGTGATCCACCTGCCTCTGCTTCCCATAGTGCTGGGATTACAGGTGTGAGCCACCATGCCTGGCCGATGTCATACATTATGTTTCTGTGTGTATTTTAAACCCCACAATGCTTTGTTCTTTTTTTTTTTTTTTTTTTTTTTGAGATGGAGTCTTGCTTTGTTGTCCAGGCTGGAGTGCAGTGGCATGATCTTGGCTTGCTGCGACCTCTGCTTGTGCCCCCTTGCGTGGGTTCAAGTGATTCTTGTGTCAGCCTACCTGGTAGCTGGGATTACAGGCACATGCCACTACACTCAGCTAATGTTTGTATTTTTAATATAGATGGGGCTTCACCATGTTGGCCAGGTTGGCTTCGAACTCCTGACCTCAAGTGATCCACCCGCCTTGGCCTCCTAAAGTGCTGGGATTATAGACGTGAGCCACAGTGCCTGGCTGTTATTTTTATTTTTAAAAGCAACTAGCTTTCAATAAGATTTAATATGAAGAAAGTAATTCCTTTATATTTATCCATACTTACTATTTCTGATCAGAAAATATACATTGTATGATTTAAGTCCTGTCAAATTTGTTGGGAATTGTTTTATAGCCCAGAGTTCTGGTGGTTTTTATTCCCTTGGAATCCTTTAGCATGAAGTGTTGCTCTAGTCTGCTGGTGATGAGTTCTTTCAGCTTTTGTATATCTAACAGAGATTTTTTGCTTTTTACACCTGTTTATTATTGTGGCTGAATATATATAAGATAAAATTGATCATTCAACCATTTTTAATTCTACAGTGGCTTTAAGTACCTTCATATTGTTTTGCAATTATCACCACCATTCACCTCCAAAACTTTTTTCCTTTTTCCAAACAGAAACAGTGTACCTATTTAGCAATAACTCTCCATCCACAAGTGATCCTCCCACCTCAGCTTCCTGAGTAGCTGGGACTACAGACATGTGCCATTGTGCCTAGCTTATTTTTGTATTTTGTGGTATCCTATTGCCTTTTTAGATTTTAGGACAAAATTGATATAGATTGAAACTTTGCTGAAATAATTTTTTGTTTTTGTAGAACAGAATCTAGTATAAAGTGATTCACGCTGGATATTGGAGACTTGTACAATGTCTGGCAAAAGATTGGTTTGCAGTAAGTGTTTACTGAATTAAAGGAAATCTCTTGGCCAGGCATGGTGACTCATGTCTGTAATCCCAGCACTTTGGGAGGCCGAGGTGAGTGGATCCCTTGAGGTCAGGAGTTCTATACCAGCATGGCCATCGTGGTGAAACTCCGTCTCTACTAAAAATACAAAAATTAGCTGGGCATGCTGGCAGGTACCTGTAATCCCACCTACTCTGGAGGCTGAGGCAGGAGAATAGCTTGAACCCAGCAGCCAGCGCTTGCATTAAGCTGAGATTATGCCATTGCACCTCAGCCTGGTCAACAGAGTGAGTCTCCGTCTAAAAAAAAAAAAAAAAAAAATTTCTACTGCAAAATTATTTAGGAAAAGTATAATAGAACCTAGTTTTTGGTTGATTCTTATATATGGATTATAACCAGAGGATCACTGTACATTTTGTGTATAGGCAGTCATTACTTTGGTTACCGGAGATTATAAAAAATGGTGATGCAAGGGCTGGGCTTGGTGGCTCATGCCTGTAATCTCAGCACTTTGGGAGGCTGAGGTGGGCGGATCATGAGGTCAAGAGATCAAGACCATCCTGGTCAACAGATTGAGACCATCCTGGTCAACATGGCAAAACCCCATCTCTACTAAAAATACAAAAATTAGCCAGGTGTGGTGGCGCATGCCTGTAATCCCAGCTACTCGGGAGGCTGAGGCAGGAGAATCGTTTGAACTCAGGAGACGGAGGTTGCAGTGAGCCGAGATCACGCCACTGCACTCCAGCCTGTCCACAGAGTGAGACTTGATCTCAAAAAAAACAAAAAGAGGTGATACAAGCTGATGGTATACAAAAAACAATCTTACCAATCAATGGATAAAATTACAGTTGTTCTGTGATCTTTAAGTATTTTGTCAAAACTCTTCTTGTTATAAATGAATAGAGAAATGAAAAAGAGTGGTGCTAGTCTTTAGTATAGCATAATGTAAAGCATTAGAGATATTGAGAATTAAAGGGTTTTCTTTGTTATAGTTTGAACAGTGCTTGCTACCTTCTCACTGTGCAAGTTGTTATGAAGCACACATTTTTTCTGTGCCTTGACAAGTTGTCATTCTTTTTTCTCTATGTGGATCAGCCCGTCTCGGTATTTTATCGTTTGGATTTTAAACGTTGTGAAATATCTTCTGGAGTTTCTTTAATGTAAAGTTTTTGTGGGTATCATTTTATCTGTAGTATCTTCTCTTTCATCTCAGCCACTTTGTTCATTTATGTTAATAAGTTTGCCTTCACAGTATTCTTCTGGCTGTATATCTGTAGTCTCCTGAATGGCAGCAATGTCAGCATTCCTATATTCATTATTTCTATTTTAAGCCCATTTACATTCAACTGGAATTTCACCTCTAGCAGGATCACTTTTCATGTCTTTGCTGCATTTTCATCTTTGTTGGCTGGTTCTTCCTTTGATATCCAGTTTTGTAAAATGTGACAATGGCTTATCATTTAGGGGACAAGGAAGCAGCACAACTATGTACTTTGTAGTCTGTGGATGAACTTAGTATCAGATATACAGAGACCATTCACCAATAAAGTTTGAAACAAAGACATGATTGGTCACCAGTAATGATACTCATCTGTTATTTATGTGGACTTATGACCTAGCAGCAAAGTTTGCACTTTGTGTAATTACTCATAGTTCTTGTGGTAACTGTAATTTATTTATTTATTTATCTTAAGATGGGGTTTCACCATGTTGGTCAGGCTGGTCTTGAACTCCCGACCTCAGGCGATCCACCCACCTTGGCCTCCAAAGTGCCTGGATTACAGGCGTGAGCCACCACGCCCTGCCTATTAATTTTTAATTTTTTTTTTTTTTAAGGCAGAGTCCTGTTCTGTTGTTCAGGCTGGAGTGCAGTGGCACAACCATAGCTCACTGCAGCTTGGAACTCCTGGGCTCAAGTGATCCTCCTACCTCAGCCTCCTGAGTAGCTGGGAGCACTGCATACTACCTTACCCAGCTAATTTTTTTGGATGGGGGATGGATAGAGATGGGATCTTGCTATGTCACCCAGGTTGGTGTTAAATTCCTGGCTTCAAGTGATCCTCTTACCTTGGCCTTTCAAAGTGCTGGCATTACAGGTGTGAACTACTGCACCTGACTGTAACTGGAATTTAAATTGTGTAGTTGGAGGACTGGTGTTAACTAAAATATGGTGACTGAAATTCATGCGTATCAGAACTGTGCAGAATAACTTCCTATATTCTGTTTCTTCAGTAACAAAACATTTTCAAATTAGTTTTCGTCTTTAGTTAATTATGATCTCTGTGTACTGCTGAGCTTACTGAATTCAGTTTTCATTCTTTGGAAGATGTCTTAGTTTATACAATGTAGTTATTTCAGTAGATTTAAAAATAAAGCTGTTAATACTATCAGTTGACTTACTGAGTCATAAAAAATTTAAGGTGACTAGGTAAAATGAAGCTTTTGTAATTCTATAAATTACATTTGAATTACTTGGAACTCTTAAATGCAACTGAAATCTAATTGGCTAAATTCAGTTAAAAACAGGCTTTTTGGGGGGGGCATTCTTTTTTTTTTTTTCATAATAAAATAAAGTCAGTTTATTAAATGCTCAATTCTCAAAATTATGTATTTTTTCATTATTTAAAAAAACTTCCATGCTCTTTCATTCCCCTCCCTCCACTAGGTATTGTCCAAGTTTTATCAAAGTCCACAAAGTATAACATGTACCCAAAAGCAGAGAAGACAGGAGGTTTGGAGGACAAGGCACGCTGGGTCACTACCCGCACTGCAGAGTCCGCAAAGGCTAACTCATGCTCGGGGCAAAGAATGGAAAGAGTTAATACACAAAAAAAGCAAAAGAACTGGAGTGGGCAGCCTGACCAGAGACGTTTACAGTTTATACCAATTTACAAATATTTAGGGTGCCCACCAACTCCAAGAGAACAGACCAAACTAACCCCATAAAGGAAGACCTCTCTGCCAGGGCCTCCTCTCCCCACAACCTCCTCTGAAGAATCATTAGGAAGCCCAAACAGCTTCACAGTTCTGGCTTCCCAGCTACTGTCATATTTGCCGTCTTTGTCATCACAGGCAAATGCCAGCAGAGGCCTTTTGGGGTGCCATGCCACGGTGAAGGTCGGAGACTTACACTGTACCTCCCATAGCTTGTCCCCTGTCTCCACTTCAGCGATGTCAATAAAATGATCTTCCGATGCTGACGCCAGCATTTTCCCATCATGGCGGAAACTGAGAATCCTTACAGGCCAATGCAGCCTGGAAAAGCACTGAACACACACTAACTCGTCCACATCCCAGAGGCTAACCAAAGCATCTGCACTTCCTGTGGCAAAGTACTTTGGCGGGGGGCATTTATTTTTAACTGGGGAAGTAAAAAGAATATTTTCTTGCTCTTCCAAATTGTATTCTTAAAACATTGCTTGAATCAATGCATAGTAGTGAAAGAAAGAACTTTTTAAAATCTCTCAGAACTTTATGAGGGATTTACATTTGTCATACCTTGCGTGTTGGGTGGTGTGTTTTTAGTTAAAATTCTGCTTTATAACCTAATGTAGCATCGATTATATGCCAATTAAGACATAGTCTCAAATTTTAGAATTCAGAGCTTGTTTGAGTTTTCAGTTTAAAAACTTTTAAACTAAAAAAAAAAGTCACCTTCAATTCTATCAGGACTTGGATAAACTAAATCTTTATTTCAGGGAAGAGTTCCTTTCCCCTCAGTGTGGAACTTTTAGCTTTTTGTTTGTGTGTTGGCATGTTTTAGATTTATAAAGTTTTCTACTTTAACAATTTTACCCCCAATTTTTCCCATCTTAGATTAATAGTTACAAAATATTAGTAACTTTCTTTGGTAAAGTAATTACTGAGAAGTGCTTTCTGTAACTAATATTCAATTCTTTCTTTGTGAGTTTTTAAAAGATTCTTATAGTGATACTTCTTGTGACATAATAGTCATCTAAAGGTGCCAATCACTTTTCCTGGAAAATATAGGAAGTAATATTAGGAGAGGGTATGCAACTGTTAAATTCTTTCATATCACCAACTTAACTTTTTCATGATTGAAGTATTTGCTTTGTAGAGTGCTTAGTAATGTTTATTATCATTTCTTTTTCCATTGACAATTTTGGGCTTTCCTCAAATCATGGAACTGAGAACTGGAAGGGACATTAGATCATTTGGTTTATTCTCTGATTTTATAGTTCATGACACTGATGCCCAAAGAAATAAATGATTTGCCTGAAGTTGTAGGTAGCTAGTATACCATTAGAAATCAAAAGATGGTCATCTTGACTCATAGATAATCCATTGATTTTTCTCTTCTGTACTACAATGCCTCCAATTTATAATCAGAGTCTCCAAAATTTAGGAATTGGATGAATTGCCCCATCCAGTCTGTTTCTATAGTGGGCTCACAAAACCTTATATAACAAAGCTTCAAAGTAACTGCGTCTTTCTTTTAGGGGACTGTTTAGTTTTATATAGGTCAAAATGTAGTTACTGTGGGTACTGCGGAGGCAGGGTGGGTACGTAGAATGGCAATGCTAACTGAGTCAGTGCTCTGGTTTCTCAAATGTTTTGTTAGGATCCTTTTATATCTTAAATTATTGAGGATCCAAATGGGCTTTGGATTCTTTGGGTAGATCTTCCAGTATTTATCATATCAAATATTCAAACAAATTTAAAAATATTTAGCTCATTTAACAATGCAATAGGCCAGGCGCGGTGGCTCAAGCCTGTAATCCCAGCACTTTGGGAGGCCGAGGCGGGTGGATCACGAGGTCAAGAGGTCGAGACCATCCTGGTCAACATGGTGAAACCCCGTCTCTACTAAAAATACAAAAAATTAGCTGGGCATGGTGGTGTGTGCCTGTAATCCCAATTACTCAGGAGGCTGAGGCAGGAGAATTGCCTGAACCCAGGAGGTGGAGGTTGCGGTGAGCCGAGATCGCGCCATTGCACTCCAACCTGGGTAACATGAGTGAAACTCCGTCACAAAACAAAACAAAACAAAACAAACAAAAAAATGCAATAAACCCACTATGAGTTAATACAAAAAACATTTTAATGAAAATGTTTCCAAAACAAATAAATTTATGAGAATAGTGGCATTGTTCTTTAATGTTTAGTAGAAGATCACTGGGTTCTCATGTCTGCGTCTGCATTTTCTCCCTTGTGATTTGTTGTTTTGGAAGTATATGAGGAAATCTTGCATCACAAAAATACGTAGTTAGAAAAGACAGGATCTTGGTGACTTGAGGAGTCTTTAGATCAGTCAGAGAACTATTGCTTTATATGGTTAATACAGTTTAGTAACTATAGATATGTATTTCCAATATTATATGTAGGCCAAATAGCTCCCATTAAAAAAAAAATCACTCAAATTGATAAAACATCTCTATCTGTAGTTTTTTTTGGCTCTCCATCATACATTGTTTTGTTCCATCCTTACTGACTACTTAGTGATGTTTTTGGTGCCATTATCCCCATTATGAAGGGGGTTCTTCAAATTCCTAATGGATTGTTGATATTTATCTTAGATTTTCTCAGCCAGTTTCTGAAAGGTGTTTCATGAATTCTTTTTTTTTTTTGAGATGGAGTCCTGCTCTGTGGCCTAGGCTGGAGTACGGTGGCACGATCTCAGTTCACTGCAACCTCTGCCACCTGAGTTCAAGTCATTCTCCTGCCTCAGCCTCCCAAGTAGCTGTGATTGCAGGCATGCCCCACCACGTCCATGTAATTTTTGTATTTTTACTAGAGACAGGGTTTCACCATGTTGGCCAGGCTGGTCTTGAACTCCTGACCTCAAGTGATCCACTTGCCTCTGCCTCCCAAAGTGCTGGGATTACAGGTGTGAGCCGCCACTCTTGGCCATTTAAGTAAGTTTTAACATCAAGCATGCTACTCTTTGGCACTTACTGGCTGAGTTGTGTTTCCCCCTCCACCCTCCCAAATTTATATTTCCAAGTCATAACTCCCAGTACCTCAAGAGTGTGACTGTATTTGGAGACAGGGTCTTTGAAGAGGTAACTAAGTTAAAATGAAGTTAAAGGGTAGGCCCTAGTCCAATATGACTGGTATTCTTCAAGGAAGTGGCAAGGTGTGGTGACTTACGCCTGTAATCTCAGCACTTTGGGAAGCCGAGATGGGTGGATCATGAGGTCAATAGATGGAGACCATCCTGGCCAACATGGTGAAACCCCATCTCTACTAAAAATACAAAAATTAGCTGGGTGTGGTGGTGTGTGCCTGTAGTCCCAGCTACTTGGGAGGCTGAGGCAGAATTGTTTGAACCCAGGAGGCAGGGGTTCAGGGAGCTGAGAAGGCGCCACTGCACTCCAGCCTGGTGACAGAGGGAGGCTCCGTCTCAAAAAAAAAAAAAAGAGATAGAGAGATTAAAACACAGAGGGAAGACCTTGTAAGGCCACGAAGAGAAGATGGTCATTTATAAGTCAAGGAGAAAGGCCTTGAGAAGAATTCAGTCCTCGTAACATGTTGATCTTGGACTTGTAGCTTCCTGAGTCATGAGAAAGTAAATTTCCTAGCCACACACCTGTGGTACGTTGTTATGGCAGCCCTAGCAAACTAATACAGCACTCTTAATGTTGCCTAGCACTACCACTTTTATACTTTTTTGCCAGCTATTATGGATATAAACTTTTCACCAGAACCTTCAATACTGACAGAAAGATATAATATAGATTGATAAAGTGTCATTTGCCATTCAAAATCAGAAAAGTATGACATGTTCAGTCAGTGCCCAATGGCTAGGAGCATTCATTAGCACTCACTTGATATGGCTGATTTACTGTGAGAAAAGTGTGTTAACTGCACTCCTCAGTACTCTGGTGAACTTGTATGCACATCTAATATTTCTGAGATGAACCATGCTATGCTGTGTTAAGCAACGCTTCCCAAAGATATCCCTAATCCCTGGGAATGTGGATGTTACCTTCTAGCAGAAGGGGCTTTTTGCAAGCATGAATCAAAGATCTTGAGATGGGAAGATTATCCTGGATTATGCAGTGGGCTATAAATGTAATCACAGAGGCAGAGGAGGATTTGACACAGAAGAGCAGAAGTGGTGTGGAAACAGGAGCAAAGATTAGAATGATGTGGTGACAAGTCAAGGAATGCTGGTAGTCACCAGAATCTGGAAGAGGCAAGCGAACACTTCCTCCCGAGTCTTCTCAGGAAGGCTGGCTCAGCTCACTCCTGGATTTGGTCCTGTAAGATTTTGTTCAGATTCTGGACACCAGAACTGTTAAGAAGATAAATTTCTGCTGTAATTTATACAAATCTTCATATAAATTTATACAAATTTATACAAACTTTCTTTTTTAGAGATTGGTTCTACATGAAATAGATTAAAATTGGGATTTTAAAAGGATGTTATAAAATTGTATAATATTCTTAAAATCTTGAGGAAAACATGAAAAATTCCTCATTTCCCGCCAAAGTCCTATTATGACATAGTATTTTTTATCTTCAAGCTTTGTTGTTTTAAGACTGATATCTAACCAAAACAATTGCTAATTTTCCTGTTTTTTTTTTTTTTTTTTTTTTTTTTTTGGTAAATATTGAGGACCAATAGTAAAATGATTTAGAGCAAATTTCCTAACTCCCCTTCTTTGGAGGGCGGGCACCTTTTATTAATTCAGATTAATTAAGCATGCTTGCTTTAATTACAGTTATTAACAAGGTAAACTTACAGAGGAACAAGTTATAGTAGAGATACACTAATATAGAATAGACTCTTCTCTGAATGTAAATACATGCTATAGAACGTATGCATTCTTTTTTGGGTGCCAGAGGGACTAAGCCTTATCTTGGCACTAAACCTTATCTCAGCATTATCTAAAGTAAAATTTTCTTTATTATTATATTGACAAACATTTGTTTCAAAATTAATTATTCTACAGGGATTCTTAACAGCACCTAGCAGAGTGCCTGATACTACTCTGAGCTTACTTACAACCTTACTTATAGTAAGTTACTTCATGTTAATTGCAGGAATTTATGAATTTTAATATATTGTAGATAGCTGAAACTTTTGAAGTAAAAATGTACTAAAATATACCAGTGATTTCTCATATCATTAGGTTTTCTTCCTTTGTATTTTCTTTCCTTCTTCTTCCCCTGCACCCCATCCCCTTCTTCTTTCTTTCTCTACTCCCTTTCTTCCATTTTTCCTTCCTTTAACATTTCCTGCCAAGGAAACACATTTTGGATAAAATATAATTTGTATCAGTTAAAAAAAATTTTTTTTAAGAACAGGTGCGCCAGACACCCCAGACTGTTAGTCATTGGTGTGGTAACCAGACCTTCATGTCATTAGAAGGGTTACGTACTTCATGTTTACTGAATAATCTAGTGCAGGAGTCAGTAGACTGTGATCCATGAGCCAAATCTAGTCCTCCCCCATCCATTTTTATAAATAAAGTTTTATTGGAACACAGCTTTGTTCCTTTGTTTACATATTGCTTACAGCTGCTTTTGCTGACACAATGGCAAAGTTGAGTCTTTGTGACTGAAACCGTATGGCCTGCAAAGCTTAAAAGATTTACTCTCTGGTTGTGTCCAGAAAAAATTTGCCGATCCCTGATGTGTTATACAAACATTTACTTCAAAAAATTTAAAAAGTGTTCTTGATATTTAACACCCGTTTCTTTATTTATAGTATGTAACTTTTTTTTTTTTTTTTTAAGATAATTTTTTCTGGAGGTGGATTTGCTGAAATTCCCTAAGGAGCCAGAAATTGTGAAGAGTGGGGCTGGTGCAGATTGCATGATGATACAAGTTGTACATGTTTATGGCTTCATTCCTACTATATTGCCAGCATATAGAGTTAGCTTATATAAGATGGGATGGAAGAAGTTCCATTAGGGGTTTGGTATTCCGACACGAATGGAGTACTGCAGTCTGTTCTGACACTGATCACACAGAGTTAGTGCAGACCCCACAAGGGAAAGACTCAGTTCCACAAGTCTGCCTCCATTTCAAGTATCAGTGGCAAGTAGGGTCCCCATTCTACCCACACTTATGGCCATCTGACTACAAATCTGGGGCATTTCCCACAACCCCCTTCAAGGTTGATACTTTACTAGAATGACTCAAAGATTTCAGGGAAACACTACCCATATGATTACGATTTTATTTTATTTATGATTATGATTTATTTAATACAGATCAGGACCAGCCAAATGAAGAGACACAGAGGGCATGGTCTGGGAAGTTCCAAACACAGAGCTTCCATGCTGTCTTCTGGTGGAATCAGGTCACACTACCCTCCTGGCTCATCAGTGTGTTCACCAACCAGGAAGCTCCACTAGGTTTCAGTGTCAAGAGTGTTTGTTGGCTTTATTTTAGGGCTAGTGCTGTTTTCTCACAGTTGTTTCTGGTTTGTGCAGAAGAAAAGTAAGATTAATTAGTGTTCATACCTATTACAAGTTAACAAAATGTTGTCAGGTAAGGCTTATATTGATTCTAAGGTCCCCCCCCTTTTTTTTATGTGAAAACAACAGTTTATAGTAATATTGTTGTTTTATTTTCATTTTATTTATTTGAACACAGGCTCTCACTCTGTCACCTAGACTGGTGTGCAGCGATGTAATCATAGCTTACCGTAACCTCAAACTCCCTGACTCGAGGGATCCTCCCGCCTAGCCTCCCGAGTAGCTAGGACTGGAGGTACATGCCACCATGCCTGGCTGATTTTTTCATCTTTTTTGTAGAGATGGGGCCTGGCTATGTTTCCCAGGCTGTTTTTGAACTCCTGGGTTCAAGTGATCCTTCTGTCTCGTCCCAAAGTACAGGGATTAATGTGAGGACTAGTTGTCCTTATTGGCCAATAAAATTGGCAGCAGTACTTTCTACTTCTCTCTGTGTGTCTGTCTGTCTTTCTCCCTGTCCTTTATCCCTCGCCCCTCTTCCCTTTCTCCCTTCTCCTTTACTCCTTTTCTTTCTCTGTCTGCCTCCCCTTTTGTCCCCTCCTCCTTTCTTCTGGAGTCTTTTAAAAACAATTTATTGATTTGTGAAATCTATAGTTAGAATAATCCAAACTGTTCCATATCCCAGTTACCTTCTTTTTTTTTTTTGAGATGGAGTCTTATTTTGTAGCCCAGGCTGGAGTACAGTGGTGTCATCTTTCTTTACTGCAATCTGTGCCTCCAGGGTTCAAATGATTCTCCTGCCTCAGCCTCCCCAGTAGCTGGGATTACAGGCATGCACCACCATGCCTGGCTAATTTTTTGTATTTTTAGCAGAGATGGGGTCTCACCATATTGGCCAGGCTGGTCTTGAGCTCCTGACCTCAGGTGATCTACCTGCCTCCGCCTCCCAGAGTGCTGAGACCCAGTTACTTTCATTTAACACATGCATACACACCAACCCACCATCTCACCTCTGAGTGAACAAAGATTGAAACTTGAACCATCAACCATATCAGGCCAGAGTATTATTTATTTCTAGGATACAGAATAGGGGCAATGCTGTGCATTTAGTTTCTGTTTCAGAGTAAACCAACCAAGCATTCTTCCTGCGGTAATACTGTAACAGAATAGTTCCTATCAAATCAACCTTCTTACAAGTAACTTAAACTCTGAACAAAATATAAAACACCAAGAGTATCTGAAGAACAACTAATAGCAGACAGAAATTACAGAGAGGAGGGTGTTAGTATACACTTTTAAAAATGAAACAGCCCTGGTGAGTTTGCTATTTTGTTTTTGAGATGGAATCTCTTTGTGAGGCCTAGGCTGGAGTGCAATGGTGCAGTCTCGGCTCACTGCAGCCTCCACCTCCTGGGTTCAAGTGATTCTCCTCTTCCAACCTCCCAAGTAGCTGAGATTGTAGGCGTGTACCTCCACACCCGGCTCATTTTTGTATTTTTAGTAGAGGCGGGGTTTCACCATATAGACCAGGCTAGTGTCGAACTCCTGACCTCAAGTAATCCACCCACCTCGGCCTCCCAAAGTGCTGGGATTACAGATGTGAGCCACCATATCCAGCTGGGTTTGCTATTTTTATAGCTAGTTTTGTACTGTGCTAGACAGCTACAACTCAGGAGACAGCATATAGCTTGTGACCCAGGAGACAGGGTTCATGGTGACCACAACAGCTGGAAAGTGAGTGGAAAGTGAGACCTGAATGGAAACAGCCACAAATTTTCATTAAAACTTTGCCTGTATTATAGGCTGAGCTGTATGTGGAACAAACTGCATGCAATCCAGCCAAGGATAAAAGAACTGAACAAATATTTCAGCTGCTGCTCATCTTGGAGGAGAAAGTTTGCAGTTTAAGTCAAGCTAAGTTTAGTATAAACTTTTTTTTTTTTTTTTTTTTTTTTTTTTTTTTTTTTGTGGCTGGGTCTCACTCTCATCGCCTAAGCTGGAATGCAATGGTGTGATCATGGCTCACTGCATCCTTGACTTCCTAGGCCCAGGTGAAGCCGCCTTCTCAGACCTCAGCCTCCCAAGTAGCTGGGACTAAAGGTATACATCACCACACCTGGCTAATTTTTTGTATGTTTTATAGAGATGGGGCTTTGCCATGTTACCAAGGCTGGTGTTGCCATGTCGCCAAGGCTGGGCTCAAGGGATTCACCACCTTCTGCCTCTGAAAGTGTTATGATTACAGGTGGGAGCCACCATGCCTGGCCTACTGTAAACATTTTTCGTTTGTTTTTTCTTTTCTACTTCTTTTATCTTTTTATTTTTCCTATCCTTGGAAATAAAAACATATTTTAGAGGACGATTACAGAATCTAGAGTTTCTGTAAGGTATCGTTTACCACATATAGAATGTAATATAAAATTACCATACTTAGGAAGAACCATGAAAATATGGCCAATATTCAAGAGAGAAGATAATCAGTTGAGCTAAAACTTGAAATTACATACATGTTGGACAAATGATGATTTCTTTATGTGACTACTTATGGATTCAGGTACTTAGAACTTTGATATCAAAGAGAATTTTAGGATACTGATTCTAGTCTCATTCATTGTTTTCTCATGTATCTAAGGTCTAACTGGCACTTACCAGTTTGTTAGCCCCTTGCACTGATGTTACTTGTTTTCTTTCCTTCTTGGTATGCTTCTTCACCTGTAAGGTGTTAACTTGTTTAGTGTATAAGAGTCAAGGACCAGGAAATAGAAACCATTCTAACTATCTTAAATATAAATTTGCTCTCCAGAAATAAATTCCAGAACTCAAAAAGTGATCTGCTGGGGAAGCTATAACCACTGATGGTGCCACAGGAATTACTGAGTTTAAGAACGTCATTCAGGGATTTCACGCCATGGCTTAGAAAGCTGCTGCCTGTTGTTGCCTCAGCTGCCTCTTGACACCCGCATTGTGAGTGACTGGGCATTGGAACTTGGAGTCCAGCCGCTGTTTCCAGTGCGGTTGCCTCTCAGCATCCAAACAGTTGGGAGAATGGACACTGGAGCATCACTTTGGAAAAAAGTCTTATTTCTTGACTTGCTTTGCCAATAGGAAATGTAAGGTGGTAGTAAGAATCTCCCCTTCACTTTCAGTTTCCAAATCCCAGGAAAGTCCTTTATTGATAGATCAGAAATTGTATCCAGAAGCCTGGTGGTAAGAACAACTGGACAATGCTGATTTTAGCTTTTAAGCTTCTGCAGTGCAGGCAGATACTCTTGGGGCAAGGACGGGGTGGGTAGAATGAAGATTGAATGAGCTGATTTTACAGCAGGAATTGAAGGAATAACAATTGAATTGGGCCTTAAAGGAAACCTGTGCATATATCATGTTGATATGGAGTATAGATGCATTCCAGTGTGAGGTAAGGGCATTAGAAAAAGACATGGATGTTTTTTTCAGGGTGATTAGAATGTAGGGTATGATTTCTGCAATGAGGAAAGTACCTGGAGATCAGTTTGCAAAAATCTAAAGTTCTAAATTATAGCTTATTTCTCTTTGATTTGGTTTCATCACTGAGGCTGGCTAATTGTGTTGTGCTAGAGGAGTAGCTGTTATCCTCTGGCTTCTTCTCTGCTTCTTGTATCTGCTAGGTGCTGGAATTGTACAGCTCCTGAGTCAGAGCAGCATGCTTAGCAGAAATAAGCATCAATCTTCCTGAATCATCAGATGGTAAACTGACGTGATATGACCTGAATCAAAGGAAAGGCACTATCTTAGAAATTGGAGACTCGGTTCTTTGCTTTTAGGGTAAACAGCCGGCAATCTCCTTCTGTACAATATGCTTTTTGGGTAAATGAATCACTAAGCCTGCATTCTGCCTTAATAATCTATGTTTATGGGGTTAAGGAAGCAAATCTCCAATCCCTCCCTGTTGATCACAAAGTTTGGGTGAAACCATTTCTTTGTTGTGTCCTAAAATATGATAATAGAGTGTTTTCATTCACTTAGAGTAAAAACTACCTTTTTTTTTTTTTTTAAAGTGACTTTGGAACTGTCCCTACAGCTGATTATAAACAGTTCATTTGGGAATCTCCTTCCAAATTTCATGTTCTTTTGGTTGTCTGTAAGCCATTCATTCACCAGGCTACTGCTCAGACCTCTGATGTCTGAGTCTTCCCAGTAGCCTAATCTTGCTTTAAAGTCTGGAAATGGATTTTTACTTCCTGTAGTTGAAAGTTCAGATGCCATGGTATGGTATAAAAGTCTCATTAATGTAGTGATGTAGTCTCTTCCAAGTCTCATTGTATTTCTGCCATGCTCGTCTTCTTGAAGTGTTGTAAACACAGCCGTAAATTTGTGTCTCTGCTTTTCCATTATCTGTTTGTCTTATCTGGAATTCAGTTAGTCCTGTTTCTGTTCTGCCTAATACAGACACCATCTGAGGTCTTCACTGATTAGCTCAGGATAGAGATACTTGCCCTGTCTTTATTTTATACGTTCTTATTCCTACTTTTACATCAATTTGGGGTATATGTTTGTCTTCCTTGCCTTAGTCTTTAATGATAAGGACCAGACGAGCACGGTGGCTCACACCTGTAATCCCAGCACTTTGGGAGGCCGAGGTGGGTGGAACATTTGAGATCAGGAGTTTGAGACCAGCCTGGCCAACATGGTGAAACCCAGTCTCTACTAAAAAAATACAAAAATTAGCTGGGCAGTAGTAATGTGCGCCCATAATCCCAGCTACTCGGGAGGCTGAGGCAGGAAAATCCCTTGAGCCTGGGAGGTGGAGGTTGTAGTGAGCCGAGATTGGGCCACTGCAGTCCAGTCTGGGTGCCAAGTGAGACCCTGCCTCAAAAAAAAAAAAAAAAAAAAAGAAAAAAGGAATAAAGATAAAAACAATGTTTTATTCATCTCTGTATCTTTATTACATAGTAACTGGCCCTTACATAGTTTGATAAGGATGTGTTGAAAGAATAAGGCTCTGTGGTATACTTTGGAGTCATAAAGATCTGTGTTTGAAGCCATGTTTTGTTACTGTGTAATTTGTCCTGTCTAACTTTTTTCTTTTTCTTTTTTTTTTTTTTATTCCACTAAAGTTCTTTTTAGTGCATGAACTAACTGTCTAACTTTTTGAGCTTAGTTATCTCATATGCAAAATTTGGACAATAGTGCTAACCTTGGAGATTAAGGAATTGCACATAAAACATTTACCTTTACATAGTGTTGGCATTATTAGTTATTTCTTTCATCCCTTTTTTCTCTTATATTCAGTCTCTCTTGTGCTCCCACTTCCAATAAACATTTAACATGTTTATGTTTTCGCATCTTAAGTTTTCCAAATCATGCCTTTCTCTGTTGTCAGTATACAACCAGGTTCTTGAATCTAGTATTTCCTGGCAGCTTCTTCCTTCAAACATACGTATGCCTCCATCTATTGTGATTTTTTTTTTTTTTTTTTTTTTTTGAGACAGAGTCTTGCTCTGTTACCCAGGCTGAAGTGCAGTGGAGCAATCTCAGCTCACTGCAACCTCTGCCTGCCAAGTGCAAGAGATTCTTGTGTCTCAGCCTCCTGAGTAGCTGGGGCTACAGACATGCACCACAACACCTGGCTAATTTTTGTATTTTTAGTAGGGACAAGGCTTTGACATGTTGGCCAGGCGTTTCTCAAACTCCTGGTCTCAGGTGATCCGCCTGCCTGTCAGCGGTCTCCCAAAGTGCTCGGATTACAGGCTTGAGCCACTGTGCCCAGCCCATCTATTGTATTTGACTTTGTTTCTCGTTGCTCCCTAGACATTGCTTTTGTAGAGTCACCAGTTATATCTTTGTTCTAAATATGATAGAATTTTTTTTACTTTATTTTTTGTAGCTCATACCAGGTTTGTAATTATGTTTATTTGTATGCTTACTTATTTAATGGCTATCCTTTCTTTTGAGGCTAAGTTTAATGATGACAGGAACCTTATCTGTTTTGTGTGTCACTATATCCCTAGTATCTTCAGTAGGGCCTGGCAAGGGGTTGATCCTCAAATCTCTAAATTTTCGGTATGTCACTTTAGAAAATCTGTAGTTCTTTGCAAATAGGGTACAGGTGTCAATTTTGTTTATAGGAAGGTTCTCCATTTTGGAGCAGAATGGATACACTCTGTTGTAAAATTGCAGTTATCAGTTATTTGGTTCAGAATGTTAAATAGGTGACTTAATGTGATCACTAAATATTTTTGCCTGCCTGTTTCCTGAAAAAGTCAAAATTTGGGAAATTAAAAAAGGATGACATAAATTAGAATTTGTATAATAATTTAGCATTTTTGGTGTTTGCATTATTCTCTGCATTTTCACTTTGCCTTGCAATGCTTGTGAAATGACTCGGCAGGAGCTTTTAAACCAAGAAATAGGAGAGCAAATTGACTTCAGTCATTAAAAAATCCCTGTGCCTGATACTTTTATTAAAAACCCACACCCATTTCTGTCAGATGAGGTCGTGTCAATCCTTAAACTTTGCTTTTAGACTAATGGTAAATTGAAGCATGATACTGATACAAGATTGATCTTATTTCCCCTTGCCTCTCTTGTTTTCTTCTTTTCCTTTTTCCCCTCATACTCTGGTGCTTCAGACATCCACATTTATTTATGTTCTGGCAGCGTTCCTTTGTAGTGCTAGTCCCTTTGCCTGGAATGTCTGTCTCCCCTATTTCTTCTGCCTAACTTTTGCTCATTCTTTAGGCTTCACCTTAGTTGTGTCTGCCTAATGAAAACCTTTTCCTTGATCCCAGAAGACTGGATTTGATCTTTCCTAGTACTTTTCTATATATCCCTGCATGACAGATTGCTCCTGTTTGATATTCCTGATCTACACTTTGCTTTCTTTCTCCTTTTCTTTTCTCGGTAGGCTTACTTGTATGAATTATGTCAATTGGTATCTGTGACTTCGACTTCACAGTTCAGCCAGTGTAGAAAGCAGGTAGATTGGAGGCAGTAAGAAAGGCCAGCTCATAATATTTATTTCCTGGATTTCTTTGCTGTGAAGTTACCTTGGGTTGGCTGTGCCACAGCACAGGTACTAGCCCAGGTGGCTTTCTCTGTATGACTTTCTGTTCCACATTGTGGTAATCTCTCCCACCCCTTGCCATTTGGATTTAGAAGTACTGCTCCTGCTGTTAGCGCCGGTTCCTGTATTTCCATGTGTTCCCCTTTCCCCTATCCCTCCACTGTGTTTACTTCCTTTGTATGTAAATGCTTTGTGAATGATCCTCATTGAAATATTTTATTAGTTTTTGATTGGAAGTCTAGCTAGCATATCCCCACATATGTTATTTGTGATACTGCCTTCTCTCTCTCAAACAATTGCCTGTTTTTGCCTTTGCCCTCGTTTAGATAAACAGGAGCCTCAGTCAGTGAAATTCTAAACCACTCTGCCTGCTTTAAACAGGACAGTGCTATTTCAGTTTTTATTATATATTAAGATTCTCTGTAAGACTTGATTTGAAATTAGGGTTGAACAATAAAAAAGGTTTGAAATATTGACTACATGGGATAAAAAATCCTGAACTATTTTTAATGGCATTTACTTTATTTTTTGCCTTTTCCTAACTCTTCTTGGACTTTTAACTTCCAGGGATAACAAATGTTCTCTCCCATGTTAGTGTCTTGACATATGTTATTACAGACATACTTCACCTAGCTAATGCCTACTCTCTTTTTAGTTCTTATTAACCTAACTTTTTAAAAGGGTGGTTTCCCCTGATTCCTCTTTCTGACCTGTTTCCTGCCAGCACACGTGCTATTATGAGTCTCTGTTAACTATTTTTGTGGCATCATATACTTTCTCTTCATAGCATTTATTTGAATTATATAGCTACTTGTCTGATTGTTCAGATTGTGCCTTCCATAGGAGGTCTATTATGGCCATTGCTCCATTCCCATTGTCTAGCATGCATGCTTGCATTTATCCAACAAATAAAAGGGAAGGATACTAGAGTGGAAGGACGATCACATCATCTCTTTGGAGGAATATGATGCAGAATTTAGGGCCATTAGAATTCTTCACTGTTTTAAATGAGGCCATCCCTTTTTACTTTCAGTTAATGAAAAATCACTGTATCTTTTTAGAGAAATTTTATTGGATTGCATTCTTCCTCAAATTAACAGAAAACTGATCACCACTTCTGAATCAGTGTACTAAAAACAAAATGTCCTATTACTAATTTTTGCAAGCAAGTAGTAAAGATGACTTAAAATATTTTTGGGGGAACAATTTAAAATTTGTAGAAAAGTTACAGACATAGAACAAAGAGATTTTTGTTTTGAACAGTTTGAGA